GGCCCTTGTCCTCACAACATATTCCGGTTTCCTGGCGTTTGGATATAAGTATATTGGGGGAAGGGGGCGGGGGGGGAATTATTCCACCCATCACAACAGGTTAAACTGAAACATCAAGGGTGTTTTTTTGGAAGATGGAATGAGTTTTACTAGGAATTATTTCAGCCGGTCAACAACAAATCCACGTTACTAACCCGTCACCGGTTAATGATGTGGATTAAACTATTAACCGGTTAGTAATGCGGATTCATTGCTAACCAGTTAGTAATGTGGATTTCGTCATTGAAGAAAACACGATAATTTCTTTTATATATATATATTTTATTGATTTTTTACAGAGAGGAAGGGAGAGGGATAGAGAGCTAGAAACATTGATGAGAGAGAAACATCGATCAGCTGCCTCCTGCACAAACCCCACTGGGGATGTGCCCACAACCCAGGTACATGCCCTTGACCGGAATCGAACCTGGGACCCTTCAGTCCGCAGGCCGACGCTCTATCCACCGAGCCAAACCGGCTACGGCGAAAACACGGTAATTTCAAGAGAAACATCAAAAGCGCTTTATTCAAAGTCACGTCCGTCGCTAGCACTTCTCTTCAAAATAATGAATTAAAACTTCCCGAAAATGCTCTCTCTCTTTTTTTTTTTTTTTTGGCACGAAATTCGACGCGTTTAAGCGTAAAAATATCTATGACGTGAACACCCTCAGCAAATGTGACGCAGGAAGTTTTGAAGCTTGTCGTCGATCCAGCCCAATAGCACCCACATCAAGTCGCCTCCATATCAACACACGCGTGACTCCGTCTCGTGAAAAAAAAATCCGCATTAGTAACCGGTCCACCTGGCGTAAGCGTCCAGTTCTGAGAGGTGGCACTCGAGCCATGTGTTTTCGACTCCAACTTTCCTTTCCTTGATCCAGTTTTACTGTCATAAAAAAAAAAGAAAAAAAAAGTGGTGATTTTGCCCCAACCAGGTGGCCGGGTCGGTCGGAGCTTCCTCCCACCAGGGACTTTCCCCCGTGTCCTCTGACATGAGTCACCTTGGCCGCCACCAAGAGGAATGTTACGCCAGGGACCGTGGGCATCGAGTCATAAAACGTTGAGTAAAGACTTGAAGATGTTCGCCTACCCTGGTCCAGCGGCCAGATGGAGCCAGTGACAAAAATACAGGACACCCGCTTACGTGTGAGACGTCGGGCGAGTCACCCACACAGGGGTCAGTATCCGTGTGCCCGGGCAACCTTTGGGACACACGACACGGGAAAAGTATGTGTGGCTGATGTGAAATGTCAGTGTAACCGGACAGTCTGCATTTTACCACCTGACAACCCTGTCGGTTAAAAAAAAAAAAAAAAAAAAAAACCCAAACACTCCCTTCTGGCCAGGCTTTCAAGCAAGTAGTTATCTGAGTAGAGGGGCCACTGGGAGACTTCCCTGTGTAAAAGAAGGGAAAAAAATCTAGGTAAGTAATTCAGCAAAGCAAAGCTTCGTTCTGTAAGACATCCCTGCCCTAAAGGTACCCCTTTTGTGCACGGGTGATTTTGTGTGATGTGTTTCCCAAAGTATTCTACGCCTGTGAAAGACAGTAAGAATCATTCCTTTTTTTAAATATATTTTTATTGATTTCAGAGAGGAAGGGAGAGGGGGAGAGAGGGGAACATCCATGATGGGAGAGAATCACGGATCGGCTGCCTCCTGCACGCCCCACCCTGGGGATCGAGCCCACAACCCGGGCCTGTGCCCCGACCGGGAATCGAACCCTGACCTCCTGGTTCATAGGTCGACGCTCAACCACTGAGCCACACCGGCCGGGCAAGAAGAAAACCATTCTTGTTTCATCTGTTTCAGACCCAACAACACAGACACACATACTCCTAACGAGGTGCAGGCCGCCAAGGCGAGGGACCCCGGTTCTGGGAGAGCACCTCGGAGGAGAAGCCACAGACACCGTGGAGATCAGCCCAAGGGTGACTGAACCCCCACAACGCCCTCCCCGTCCCCCCCGCCCCATGCAGTCCGTCCTCCAACGAGGAGATAGCAGCTTAGTCTGTTCTTGGCAGAAGGCATCCTATTTTCATTAGATAAGCTTAGCGATTGCAGGGGCGAGAAGATTCCGAAACCCCAACGCTGCCTGCACTTCGGGGCAGATGACCCTGACGGGGCAGCGCTGGCAAAGACATTCAGCCCCGGCCAGTGTGGCTCAGTGGATAGAGCATCGGCCTGCAGACTGAAGGGTCCCAGGTTCGATTCCCGGTCAAGGGCACAGGCCCGGGTTGCGGGCTGATCCCCAGTGGGGGGCGTGCAGGAGGCAGCCGATCCATGATTCTCTCTCATCGTGGATGTTTCTGTCTCTCTCCCCCTCTCCCTTCCTCTCTGACATCAATAACAATATATTTAAAATATATATATATACATATATAAGCCAGTCAGAGAAAGACAATATCCCGTGATCTCACTCATAGGTGGGATCTAAGTAGCAAAATAAACTGATGAACAGAGTGGATCTAGAGACGTGGACGCATGGAACAGAGGGTGGGAGGGGTGGCGGGGGAGGGGAGGTAATCAACCAAGGACCTTGTGTGCAGATGTGCGTAACCCGAGGACACAGACAACAGGGTGGCGAAGGCCTGGGGTGGGGGGTGGGGCCGGGGGGAGGGGAGGCAGGCTGGAGGGGGTCAGTGGGGGGGACGGACATATGTCATACTTTATTTTTTATATATATATTTTTATTGATGTCAGAGAGGAAGGGAGAGGGAGAGAGAGATAGAAACCTCAACGATGAGACAGAATCATGGATCGGCTGCCTCCTGCACACCCCTTACTGGGGACCGAGCCCGCAGCCCAGGCCTGTGCCCTTGACCGGCATCGAACCCGGGACCCTTCAGTCCGCAGGCCGACGCTCTATCCACTGAGCCACACTGGCTGGGGCCATATGTAATGCTTTCAACAATAAAGAATTATTTTTAAAATAAAATAAAACGTAAAATAGCCCTGCCCCCCATCACCACCGGCGCCTCCCCCGCCGCCCACGCAGAGGGCAGCTTTCGGGGTGGCGTGAGACCCCGCGATTGGCAGGGTCTCGGATTCAGATGAAACCCCACCTCGGCTGACACAGATGGTTCTAGAATCCCAGAAGCACAAACCCAGTTGGAGGAGGTCACCTTCCCCTTAGACCTGCTCGGTGTTTAGGAAAAGATTTGGGGGGGACGATGCTCTCCCCACCGATCCTTGGGCGTGGCTGGGAGGAGGCATGTCCTCCTAGCAGCACGCGGGGGGGGGGGGGGGGGGAGGGGGGGTGGCTGAGGTGCAGGGGCCTCGCTGGCAAGCTGAAGGCCGTGGGTCTCGTTCGCAATTTATCGCGGCGCCGATTTATTTACTTTTCCCCCCGAAACGGGGCTGTTTAGAGAAGCTGGCCCGTCATTGTTTGCATCTGGGCAGGACACGGGGCTCAGGCCTGGCCAGCTCATGGGGCCGAAGGGAGGTCGTGTATTGGCGATAAGACCAGCCTCCGGGGGGAAAACTCACAATATTTGGGATTCGGGGTATCTCGCCTACGTCACCGGGGGGTACAGAAGCGGCACTTGTGGGACCAGGCGGCTCCCAGGAATGTAAACTCCGGGCCTATTTGGCCTATTTCGGGGGCGGGGTGGATGATTGGGGGGGCGGGGCAGAGTGATTTGACTCTCGGGGTAAAAATAAAAAGCCATCTTTCCTGCTTAACTCTCTCTCTCTGTGTTTAACTCTTGGAAGTTGCCATATGCCTGCTGGGACTCGCTGGGAATGGACAGTGAGAATGTTGGTTAGGTCCCAGGAAGGATGAAAAGATTTAAAAAAGTGCCCGGCCTGCCCTGGCTGGTGTGGCTCAGTGGGGAGAGCGTCCGGCCTGCGGACTGCAGGGTCCTGGGTTCGATTCCGGTCAAGGGCGCTGTCCCCCATGTGGGGCCTGCAGGAGGCAGCCCGGTCCATGATTCTCTCTCATCACGGATGTTTCTGTCTCTCTCTCTCTTTCCCTTCCTCTCCGAAATCAATAAAAATGTATTATTTTTAAAAAGCCAATGCATTAGTGGTTTAGAGTGTTTCACGCCTCATCTCGGACACAGTCAAGGTGCGGAGTGGAAGCGGCTGCTGGGCAGTAGTAACGAGGGAGGCGGGCAGGGTGCCCCCGGGGAGCTCCCGGCATCGACGTCCAAGTCTCGCTGTGACGTCGACCTTCAGTAAAAGCCAAAAAAAACCACATAATTTAAAAATGGATCTATTGAGTGTTCCCAGCTCATATGTATCATATCAATCTTTCACGGAATCAATCGCTTTATCGCTGCTTTGTAGAAGTCCGTCAACGAGGGGCTATTTTTAAATGTTCTGGCCTGTACAGTCCTCCCTCTAGATCCCTTCGTCCGGCTCCTCATTCGTGCCTTTTCTCGTCTCATCGGTCAAAACCCACTTCCCGTTCTTGTTTCACCAAATCGGAGCTTCTTTTTTTTCTTTTTAAAATTTTTTTATTACAGTCCGCGTTCAATATTATTTTGTGTTCGTGGGTAGACAATCCTATCCTTTCTTTTTAAATATATTTGTATTGATTTCAGAGAGGAAGGGAGAGGGAGAGAGAGAGAGGGAAGCATCCATGATGAGAGTGGATCATGGATCGGCTGCCTCCTGCACGCCCCACACTGGGGATGGAGCCCGCAACCCGGGCCTGTGCCCTGATCGGGAATCGAACCCTGACCTCCTGGTTCCTAGGTCGATGCTCTACCGCTGAGCCACGCCGGCCAGGCGACTGTCATGTCCTTTGCAAAGTGTGCCCAGGATATTTCCAGTTCACGGGCACCATGCATCGTCATCATGACAATATCTTGACTGCATTCCCTGTGCTGTGCTTTCCATCCCCGTGACTGCTCTGTAACCGCCCGTTGGTACTCCTTAACCCCGTCCCCTTCTTCACCCGGCGCCCCCCCACAAACCCCCTCCCCTCTGGCCACCATCAGCCTGAGCCCTGTACCTACGAGTCTGTTTCTGTTTCGCCAAAACCCATTTGAAAAGCCACCTCCTCCGAGAAGCCCTCCCTGACTCCCGTGAGGAACTCCATCCCGCCCTCCGCCTCGCCCGCCATCCTACGTTAGCTCCCGCCTCCGCCTCCAGCCCTTTGGTGTCTTTCTAGCAGGGAGCACAGTTCCTGCGGCTGTATCCTCCAGGAACGCAGGGTTTTAAAAGTCACTAGAATGGCGCGCCCCCAGGCGTGGCTCGGTGGTTGAGCAGCGACCCCTGAACCAGGAGGTCCCCAGTTCCATTCCCGGTCGGGGCACAGGCCCGGGTTGCAGGCTCAATCCCCAATAGGGGGCGTGCAGGAGGCGGCCGGTCCGTGATTCTCTCTCATCGCGGATGTTTCTATCTCTCTCTCTCCCTCTCTAAAATCAATTTAAAAATATGTATAGTTTTAAAAGCAGCCCTAGCCAGTTCAGTTCAGTGGATAGAGCGTCGGCCTGCAGATGGAAGGGTCCCAGGTTCGATTCTGGCCAAGGGCACAGGCCCGGGCTGTGGGCTCGATCCCCAATAGGGGGCATGCAGGAGGCGGCCAGTCCGTGATTCTCTCTCATCGTGGATGTTTCTGTCCCTCTCCCTCTCCCGTCCTCTCTGACATCAATAAACAATAGATTTTAAAAGATAATAATACAGAGGTTGCCCAGACAGGCTGGTTCCTCCTCCCGCCTTCCATGGAGGCCGCGCTGATGCCGGTCTGTGCCAGGACTTCTAAGTAACAACCCCCCACCCCCCACCCCCCCATCCCCCCCACCCCCCACCCCCATCCCCCCCCCACACACGGAGCCTCTGCAACGATGTGTCTAAACTTGGGCAGCATCGTCCCTGACCTTGACACGGCAGATGCCGGCGCTGAGCACGCTGAGCACGGAGAACGATACAAAAAGCATTTGGACTCTGAACGCCAAAGGACACCAGCCAAGTGCAATGGAGGTTGGATGTGAAAACGTGTTGGTGTTATGGGTCTGTGGTTTTAGGGGAAAAAATAAAATAAAAAGATGACTCAGGACGGCTCTGAGGAGGAGAAGGAGGAGGGGGAAGGAGAGGAGGGGGAAGGGGAGAGGGAGGGGGAGGGGGAAGAGGAGGAGGAGGGGGAGGAGAGGGAGGAGGAGGGGGAGGGGGAGGAGAGGGAGGGGGAGGAGGGAGAGGGGGAGGAAGGGGGGAGGGGGGAGGAGGGGGAGGGGGAGGAGGAGGAGGAGGCTAACACAGAAACATCTCCCCACTGGCCTGTGGTTAACCGAGCCACTTACTGGTTCCCCAGGCCTGGGCTCCTGGGTCAGGTCGGTGCAAGTCCCTGGCAGAGGTGCACGCTGGGAAAACCAGTGGCTCCTCCGTTACCACGGGCGGACTCTCTCCCAACGTCCTCGAAGCCACACGCCTCCCCCAAACCTCCCTTCCTCTGGTCCGAGAGCGAGCAGGTGTGTGTCCCCGCAAGGCAGAGCAGAGCGGCCACCCCGGGCCAGCAGCAAAGGGGACCCCACGGCTCTGCTTCCAACGGACGGAGGGGAGACCTGCCCCGAAATGGTGCCCCTCCCTGGGCACCGGGACGTCTGCCACGAAGGAGTGTCTCTCTCAGCGAGGAGCCATGGGCCGGCCGGCGAGGCTCAGGGGTTGCGCATCGACCTGGGAACCAGGAGGTCACAGACCACGGTTCGATTCCTGGTCGGGGCACAGGCCCGGGTTGCGGGCTCGGTCCCCAGTGGGGGGCGTGCAGGAGGCAGCGGATCCATGATCCTCTCTCATTCTCATCACTGCTGTTTCTCTCTCCCTCTCCCTTCCTCTCTGACATCCTGGGGACGCGGCGGGGCCCACGGCGACCCCCCTCCTCCCAGTTTTTCCATGTGTGTCGTGTAGATGATCCGTAATAACAGGCCGTCAGTACCCGCCCCCCCGAATCGGCGGAATTTTCCGAGGCCCCGTCCAAACCGCGGGGCCCACTCGTCATCGGGGGACAGATGCCGTCCCTGCTTCAGTCACCGTGTCCGTCTGCTCCGTGAGGCCATCAGACGCTACCAAGGAGGCGGCCCCGGACGTGTCACCCACGGAGAGCTCACAGGCGGCTGTGGCCACTGCCCAGGGCTGGGCCGAGGAGGCCGCCCTCAGGGAGGAAATGCCAGAGGGGCGGCGCCTACACTGACATTCCCACCCTCGGGGAGACCGGGAGGCGACCTTTGGGGCTGCCCGGCCCCTGAGAGCCCCCCACCCCCGCCCAGCATCTCTGACGAGAATGACAGAGGGGCAGGTGGTGGCAGGGGAGGCGAAGGCCTTGTTCACTGACAAGGGCCCCGGCAGACACTCCACCGTCCCCGGCCCACCTGCCCCGTGAACACACGGGAGGGTCATGAGCCGGAGGAAACCGGCAGCTTCCACAGCCAACCCCTTGGGCTCAGGACCTGGTGTTCCCGCTGCCTGCACCCCGGCCCCCACCCCAGCCCCGTGTTTACTTAGCTGCCTGCTTCTCACCGGAGCCGGGAAGCTCTCACCTCCACTGGTGACACGGTTCCACCGCCCTCCACCCCCTCCCCCCCCCCCCTCCACGCCTCCACCCCCTCCCCCCTGAGGCAGCCGCACAGCCGCCCTGACACCATCCTCTCCCACCTGCAGCAGCTCCCGGCCTGTCCGGTTCCCCACAGCAGGGCCAGGGCCCAGGACGGGGCTCACGAGAAACATAGACTCTGCCGGGCCAAGGTTTGACCCCGGAGGGAGGGAGGGGGGCGTCCCAGCGCCTCCAGTCTGAGCATCATTTGTACCGTCGCTCCATTTCCATGGGTTAAACCCCCTTAAGCAGGTCAAACGCAAGGGTTGCGACAATTATCTGGAGAATTCAGATGCAAAAAATAGTAGCTCCAGCCGGCGTGGCTCAGTGGTTGAGCATCGACCCATGAACCAGGAGGTCACCGTTCGATTCCCCGTCAGGGCCCATGCCCGGGTTGTGGGCTCCATCCCCAGTGGGGGGCGTGCAGGAGGCAGCTGATCCATGACTCTCTCTCACCATGGATGTTTCTCTCTCTCTCCCTCTCCCTTCCTCCCTGAACTCAGTAAAAAAAAGAAAGAAAATCCACATTGACTTCAAATACCCATTTCAAGAGACCGTGACTCGTCCTCGCTCCTTCGGTCTGGACTTGACGTCCGTGTGAACATCTGGCGACAAACACCCTCCTGTCTGCTGACAGTGGGTGCTGGGCCTCTGCTCTCCCCACAGGGAGGGCGTTCCGAATGAACGCAGCGCCAGAGAACCGGGGGTGCCCATGCCGTTCTCCATGGGCTCCCTAGGAAAGAGTCGGGCCGAGAATGCGGTTCCAGACTCCACTCAGCGGCTTCCCCGCCGTCCGGTCCCCTCCGCGCTGCCTCTCGTGGTCCCCCGTGTTCTGAATGACAAGGTGGGGCTAACGGCAGGCGGCATTCCCCTGGCGTTTAACCCATGACGATCAGCCCGCTCTCTGCAAGACGGAGACTTTGTCAACCACAAAGATAAGCCGACGACAGAAATACTCGCCCCTCCCTGTCTTTCCTGCGCATCCGTTTCCACGCTGGTCGTCTGTGTGTTGGAGGTGCGTTCGGAATAGCCGGTGGGACCCTCCTCGGCAAGGAGAGGCTGCTTTTTCTCAGGCCGGGATTTGGAAGGTGGACGAGATGGCTGGCAAGTTCGCGCCGTCTCCAGATGGAAGACATTTGGGGGAAACGCACCAGGACGTCCAAATGTTTATAAGAAATACGAGAGGGGAGAATTGGGGGATGCCGAACGGAGAGACAAAATAAACAGGGTCAGTCCTCTGCCACCTCCTGGGTTTCCTTCCAGATCTCTGAACTCCCCCCAAATGGAGGCCCCCGTTTGGCTCAAACAGGGAGAGGGCGGAGATGGAGCAAAACTACATACAGAAAAGCCCGGCCGGTGCGGCTCAGTGGGTGGAGCGTCGACCTAGGAACCAGGAGGTCACGGTGCGATTCCCGAACGGGGCACAGGCCCGGGTTGTGGGCTGGATCCCCAGTGCGGGGCGTGCAGGAGGCAGCCGGTCCATGATCCTCTCTCATCATGGATGTTTCTATCTCTCTCTCTCTTCCTTCCTCTGTGAAAGCAATAAAAATATGTTTTTTAAAAAAGATATTTCTGTACAAACACACATGTTCTCAGCAAGATCCTCACGGAGTTCTCTGCGCGTGGAAACAGTGATAATACTGCAGGCCTGCCCCCTGCCCCCACCCCCCCAAGGCGTGTCTGTGTCCCGGACATAGTCCGCCTTGGGGGACCTCTGACTACTTTCTGCCTAAAAGCTGTTTTATGTTGTTGTAAGAAATCGCCGCCCCGCACACACCCTCTTTTTCTTGTTTCTCTTTTTAAGCCCATCCCTTAGAAGCAAAGAAAATATGGCCGGTGATCATTAGCCAGTTTTATGTTATTTACTAAGATAAGATTTACAGCTTCCCAGTAAGGACGGGCTCTGTGTGCCCCCCCCCCCGCCCCCCTCCCCACCCCCCCACCCCCACCCCACCCCCCGCCTCGATTGGCTGCGACACTGAGCCAGGTTTCCTTGTAAATGCGGGGCTCTCCGGAGATGGGGCAATTCCTGGCCGCCACTCGCCCCCCGTGACCTCGCGAAACGGCCCGATCACAGCTCATTGTTGATTAGAACAGTCTCGGAAGGTGGTATGCGAAAAACAAGTTAACCTAAGGAAAAGGGAAATCTGTTTTTTAAAGGCTGGTGGGATAACTAGATAACCGGACGGGAAAGGGGAGGTAAGACACTTCGTCGAAAAGCAGGGGCTACCCAGCCCGCGTGGCTCAGTGGTTGAGCGTCGGTCTATCAAACAGGAGGTCAGGGTTCAATTCCCGGTCAGGGCACTGGCCTGGGTTGCAGGCCCCATCCCCAGTAGGGGGCGTGCAGGAGGCAGCCGGTCCATGATTCTCGCTCATCATGGATGTTTCTATCTCTCTCTCCCTCTCCCTTCCTCTCTGACATCAATAAAAATATCTATTTTTTTTTTTTAAAAAAAAGCACAATGTGTCTTGTTTCAGTCTGTAACTTCCCCAAGGCCCACCAGGAAGGCGACGGTGAAAATAGCTACCTAACATCA